CTTGCTGGAAATTATGAAAACTCTGGACCAGCAGATTTGGGGAGGTTTTGCCAATGCTTTAAACCACAGCATCTCTACCTCCTCCATTCCAAAACCACATCGGGGCATCTCTGTCCTTTGAAAGAAAATATTTGTTCCCTTTTAAATTACTCTCCATCTTGTAAGCCTACCCATTATCACAGCTTACTGGAGAGCCAAAAAAAACGAAGGAGTTCCCAATCCATCCACAAGACCAAAGAATTATTTTTCGGTGGCTGTGTTAGAAGTTACACCTCTCCTAAAAATATTGTTTTTAACAGTTGCCTGGGCTTTCCAAACCACTGTGTTTTATAAAAAAATGAGATCAAAATAGATGCCTGGCCTGCAAAAAAAAACCCTATGCATGGTTCAGTTGGTTAAAGAATTCCAGTGCCAAATGTAAAGGCCTTGAGATGGACCACCACCAGGATACCATTTTAACTCTGAAATTAGCACGTTTCATCTTGAGAATAAATATCTCTTAGCTGTGTGAATCCAAGTTCAAGATGTTGAATCAAAGAGGCAGATGGCTGGACAAGGCCAATAAGCTGAGGACGGGTAAGGAGAAGTGCCCCAAACCAACAGTGTAATTGAAGCTGGAATATTTCTCAGAATTCCAGCCAAGGCTTAGCCGCCTTTTAGACATATTTTTAGAATATTCTTCCTTATGGCTTACTCAAGAATTCATGAGAAAAAGGCACAGGTGGCACATTTTGCATTTGTATCCACCTCTGGTGTGTCAGGACTTAACCAACCTGATCTTAGAAGACTAAGCAGGGCTAGCTCATACTTGGAAGGAAAATATCAGGAAATTCCAGGCTCATAGACTAGACTGGAATGTTGGAAAAACATCTTGTGGTTTCTAATCATCTAAGCCCAGACATTCTAGATTTTGAAGAGGAAGGTTTAAGGATAGGCTCACACATTATTCCATAACTAATGTTTGGTTTTGATTCAGATTTGGACATCATGCCTTTTGCAATGGTCTCAGGCTACATATGCTAAGGAAGGAAGGAAAAGCTAAGAAGCCTGAACAGTTATCAGGTTGACAAACTCGATGATGTATCCAGCTGGCTTTTCCCCAGCAATTAAGCCTCCTCCTTTTTTTGTCCCAGGCAAGATGACTTGAGTTCAAAATGCTGGTCCTGTACAACAACTTTGCCTGAAGTTTTACAGATCGTATCTTTTACACCCACCCAGGATGAAATCACCAGGATGGTGAGAAAGGAAATGGACTTGACTCAGAAATAAATATTAAAGTAACTAACTGCCCTGAAGACCAAGGCTAAGTCCATTACCACATTGCTTTTGGCTTTCTCCCTGTTCTTCCAATCTCCTCTACACACTTTGCTGATGACTCTTCCCCTTTGCTTAGCTTTCCTTTAAGAGAGGCCACACAGCCTTAAAGTTTGAGCCAACGTTTCCACACCACTATCCTTTATGATTTCTCAGTGATATCCTTATTTGTTTCCTGGAATTTGATGAATTGCTAGTTCCTACAAAAGCTATTTTTAATTAGAAGCAAAAAGTGCCTTGCTTCCTGGGAGGGGAAAAAAAGATTATGAAAGGTTTACTAAGCCATTGGAAAAGAGATCAATCAGTGCCCTTTTGATAGGGAATCCCTCACATGCAAGAGATAATGGATTATCATGGATTGGAGTCCAATAACCAGAGTACTGAATTCACAGCTCCCTTACCCTAAGGCTGGTGGGCCTCAATTTGCAAGGAAGACTAGATAAATCTTGCATCTCATACAACCACACACTTCCTATTCATTCACAGCAATAGTCTGTACCCCACATTTGGCCAAATAAATTAATGAAAGACTGTCAGTACAATTTAACTTGCACTCTAAAAGACACAGAGGAAAAGTATCAAGAGAGAAGAGGATGAAAAATGTAAATATAGGCACATAGTTACCATTATCTGGAAGACAATGGGCATAAATAGAAATACTTAATGGAGAGGAGTCAAATGTTGGCAGAGCTGGTGATGAACCTGTTAATTCCCTTATCCTTTACTTCCAGCTACCATATGCTTTAAAGCAATCAACCTCCGCCAGTGGTACATGTGCCCTAGGGGGATCTCACAAACAATCTGAGGGTCAGGGTAAGTCGGTAAAACTTTAAGCTTATGCTTTCAATATAAATGGTCCCAGAAGGTTTAGAAACAGCTGGTGGCTTTTTTGGTGTCTTTGGACAGAAATAGGAAAAAAAAATCATTCCAACAAGAACATTTCTTTTGCTGGTGTTCTCATCAAAATTCAGTTCCCGCTGAAATGATGCCCAGCAAAATTTGGATTGGGTTTTAAGAGGGACTCGAGTGATTCAAGCTCGTTGTGCTGCTGATCTGCCCACACTGGGGGAAACAAATTTCAAGAATATTCCAAGTTAGATCACTGTTACACTGTAGCATTTTTCTAAGTAAACAGAACTCTCTTAGATTTGTTACAAATTATATAGATGTTTAGGATGAGGAAATTGGACACTTTCTAGATAAAAACAAACCCACTTTAGCTATCTAAACCTCCCCCGATTAGAGTGAATTGTCTGCTGTTGCAGTGCTTAGTAAACTACATGGGTTTGGGTAGTATGTGTGTCCGCATGTGTATAATATTTGCCTGAGTCATTTAGTTTACTCTGTCTTTGTCTATTTAACTATTCCTATCATATTTATTCAGTAAGATGAAGAGACCTCCCTGTCTTTTCTTTTAATTATTGATTCTTCTAAGGCTTGTCACCCTAAGGCAGGGGTCAGCAACCTGTGGCTCTGGAGCTGCATGTGGCTCTTGCATCTCTCTGCTCCGGCGCCCTGTCACCAGTCGGCTCCACAATTGATAGGGCTTTCGGTTAGGACAGGTAGAGGAAAAAGAGGAAGCCATGCTAGGAGGAGGCTCTATGGTAGGGGAACTGGATTTCAGGTCAGCTCCAGAATTGAATGGGGAGGGGCTTCCAGTTAGGACCTTTGTGGCTCTTTGAGTGTTTAAGGTTCCCGACCCCTGCCCTAAGGCATTATTTTAGGATTGGCAATAGCCTTAAATACATGCTTGGAAAAGATTACATATGTTCATAAAAATTGGTCTCGCTTCTATTTTCATAGTGTATTGTTTTATGGAAGATTTAGTGAAATCTAAGCAAGGAAAGCTGCAAATTGCTATTCTAGTAAATTTGAGTTCTATGCCCACCTTTCAGACTGCATTAAATATATTCGGGAGATTTCATGAAAAGGGAGCAGGTACTTCTTAGAGAACTACCATAATATATATTATGAGTGCTTTTTTAAAAGAGTCCACAAATCTAAATGCCTCTTGTTTCCATTAACAGATTATTGAGCAATTGGAACTCCTGGGCTGTTTGTAAATTTCCAGCCAGAAGTTGGCAAACTGAGCCCATCTGTTTATTTTGTTGAGAGGCTGTTTTGTACATCAGGTGCTTGTTATGGAAAAAAAGGGGGGGTATACAGTACAAAAGCGATCAGCAAAATGTAAGAATATCTACATTCCAGTTTCTCTACAATAGTTCTGTAATCAATTTAAAAGATTATAGCAATGCCTGATGGCTGAGGAATTCTAGGAGTTCAAGTCCACACATCTTAAAGTTGCCAAGATTGAGAAACACTGGATTAAAAGTCAAGACAATTACATTCCAACTCTACAAATATATCACAAAAGGGAATAGAGGAATTTCTATACATTGCCCAAATTCCCCAGCTTTGCAGGGGGAAAAAATTACATTGTTCCAAGTGTGCTCACCATGTGAAGAATGGTTCCAAAATTAAGCATTTATACAACTATGAAAAGAATTGGGCCATACAGAATTGCAATAGACAGAAAGATTTGTGTGATGTTTTCTTGGAAGCTATCAGGTGTATTAGCTGAGGATGGGCTAATCCTTGTGTGGCAAAAGCTGCCCATTCTTGACTAATCTTAAAAACTCAGCAAGGACAGATCTGCATAGTGCTTGGGTGGGAAAGCAACAGGAATGTTCAAGGCTACAGATAAGAAATGGAAAACATCTCAGAAGGCAACAGTGCTATAAACTATTAGCATGAATAAAAATTTGGGTAGATTCTATGTATTCACTAGGAATCAAGGGAACGTCACCTGCCCTCTGCAGCTCAGCTCAGCTCGTCTGGCCTTTTGCTTACAAATACCTTGTGTGGGGGCTCCCCCTACTGTTCCCACCAGTTAAAACCATGGCTAACGTTAAATACGCACACAATCCATGAATTTTTCATATGTAAATGTGAGTGGGTGTATTTCTGCACTTATTTGTTCAAATAAAAACAGATTGGATAAAGTAAAAATATTAAGTGAAAAAGAATTCCATTTGCCAATTTTTATTGTACACAGTATACTGGTAATGTGGCTAAGACGCTGAGCCTGTCGATCAGAAAGGTTGGCAGTTCGAATCCCTAGCACTGTGTAACAGAGTAAGCTCCCATTACTTGTCCCAGCTTCTGCCAACCTAGCAGTTTGAAAACAAGTAAAAAATGCAAGTAGAAAAAATAGGAACCAGCTTTGGTGGAAAGGTAACCGTGTTCGCCTTTGGCGTTGAGTCATGCTGGCCACATGACCATGGAGACGTCTTCGGACAGCGGTGGCTCTTTGGCTTTCAAACAGAGATGAGCACCGCCCCTTAGAGTCAGGAATGACTTACACATATGTGCAAGGGGGACCTTTACCTGGACCTTTATGTTTGTAAAAGCTAACCAAAGAATAACATTTATCCTTTCTTTTTGTCTATGCAACTTTATCATACCATCCATAAAGAATGCCACTTTTATCTAGATAAGAATTGATACATACTTATAGAACTCAGCATATAAATGATGGGTGAATAAAGATATTTTGATCTTGGGAAACAGCATCCTTACTAAATTAAAGAAATTTAATGAAATCATCCCTTTGGCCTGGCTGTGGACTTTCTCTACCTTAATGAACTTACTGCCTCAATTTGTCCAAAATGCTAACATGGGCTTACCTTTGAACGACTCTTGGATTGAAGAGAGAATCTGTCAAGTCGTGTTTGTTCCAGCCAGTCAACCCATCATCCAGAGCTTGTATCCATTGGCCCCGAATACGGTGGGAGCCTCCTCAAAGATGGTGGAGCCCCAAAGCTCAGCTTTTTGGAGTCAAGATCAGAAGCCGACATCTTCAGGCACAAAAATGGTTTAGATGCACCAATTCCAGCCAGTCCTATCTGATACTCCAGAGCTTTCATTTGCGGGACTCAGCTGACTCAGGCAGCTGCTGCCTGGGATAAATGCTCCCATTGTTGATTAGGGATGCTTTGGCTAAACGCCGGAGTCATCTTTATATAATGTAGTTTTCCAGCCTGAGAATAACATTCACCTAATCTTATCATGCTTCACTTTTTCCTGCTGTTATTAAAATGTCCATTTAGCTATTTCACACCTTAAAAAAAAATACCCACGCCATCCCGATACAATCTCATCGCCTTCAACTCAAATCACTGAATTTTATGTATTTGTTCAATTTCTACAGCCACCCATCTCAATCAACGATTCTGGGGCTCACTGCTTTGCAAACACACTGCTTTGCAAAACAACAACAACAACAACACCTCAGCTCAGCATCCTGGTTTGACAATCAGGATTTGAGGCCTAGAGTTCCCCCAAAAAAACCCAAAACATAATAAAAAATAAAAATAAAATAATAAAGTAATCAATAATAATCAATAATAATAATAATCAATAATTAATTAATAATAAAACAATAAATAATCATAAAGTAATAACAATCATTAATAAAGCAATAATTATTAATAAAGCAATACTTAATAATAGAGCAATAATAATTATTAAAAAGTAATAATTATTATTAATAAAGTAATAATAATTATTAATAAAAGAATAATAAATAATCAATAAATAATAATAAAATAAAATCCCCTCAGAGCTCAGACGCGCCTCAAAACTCCGACGCTGAAAATTGCCCGCCAGAGCGCGCGCTCGGGCCACAGGCGGCGACTGCGCGTGCGCGGGGGCCGAGGCGGCGCCGCTTAAAGCGCGCGAACCGAGGAGGGGCGTGCGTGGTTTGGAAATGAAAAAAAAAAAAGGCAGCGGCAGAACGGTAGGTGGCGCTGGTGGCCGCTCAGCCGGCGAGCCTCGCGCACGCGCACAAGAGAAAGCGGCGGCGGCGCCGCTTGCCCGGAGCCTTTCTTGCTTTGCTGTAGATGCAATTGGCGGCGGGGGGTTTTCAATTTCGAGGTTGGAGCAGACGATCCGCGGCTGGGCCGGTCCCAGCAGGAGTCCCCCATAAAGTGGGGAGGGGAGAGAGAAGAGAGGAGGCTTTTGCATCAGAGTACCAAAAGTTCAGCAGTGTGTGAATAATCCAAATATGAAGGCATGTTGGAGGTTGCAGAACATCAAACCCGTGCCTCCCCCCCCCTTTTTTTTCCCCTCAAAGGAATCCTTGGGAGACGAGATGGAAAAGGGGCTGGGGGGAGAGTGAGAAGCGAGAAGCTGGATTTGGGGATTTGGTGCTGGGGGAACAACACAAGGGGAAGATCCTGCAATGTCGCAGTTAAGGATTCCTGGACGTTTTGATATCTGGCCCCAAAACAGTACAAGCTCTTAAAAGTAGCCCAAAATATGTCCCCCGCTGCCACAAAAATATCCCTGCAACGGATCTCCAAAGGTAGCCTGATTGGATAAGAAAACCTGGCCCCCACATTCCCAATGGGGTTTTCCTGCACCAAGCCTTCTCTTGGGGGCCTGAAGTTAACCTCAACCTTTACAATTGAATACTACTTAAAATTGGGACAGGAGCAGAGCAGATACAGATTAACAGAATTGGAAGGGACCTTATAGGTCATCTAGTCCAACCCCCTGCCCAAGCAGACCACACACCATTTCTGACAGGTGGCAGTCCAGTCTCTTGAAAGCCTCCAGGGATGAAGCTCCCACAACTTCCGAAGGCAACTTCTGTTCCATGGGTGGATGGTTTGCGCTCTAAGCCTCTGACAGAGTGACAGAAGCCACCTATATTTCTAACCGGCTGCCAGCAGACAAAAAAAAATCCCTTTAATCACTATTAAAAGGAAACTCCAGCACAATGTATTTATTTTAAACAATCTGCGAATAGACATTCAACATTGCAAGGTTGCCGTAAGGATGGCTGTTAATAGGCTCCATTTCAAAATTCTTGTATAAATGCGGTACAATTGTCACTTCGGCTGGAGGGGGGGGAGGAAAGCAAGAAAATTACCTTTGCCCTTTAAATAATGTTTTTAATTAAAGACATTTCTACACAATCAATATCAAGATTTCACATTTTTGAGATAAATCTTCGGAGTTACCCATCCTTCTGGGGGATTTTTCAAGCCGGCTTTTTTCCACATCCTTTTCAGTTCATATTCAAAATTTTTCTATAAAGAAAAGAAAAACAGAAAATGAATACTGAGAATTTCTTCACTGGAGACAAATTCCTTGTGTGTCTAATTACACTTGGCCAAATAAAGTATTCTGCAGGGATCTCTTGTGATGGACATGTGGGTGCTGGGCAGGGACTTAAAAGGGATGTAAAAGATGGCTTCCAGGTCTGATACTCAACTTATTTCTGAGCAAATTAAGACACTACCTTAGGATCAGCATTTTAGCAATCAGAAAAGTGGCAGAATTAAGATTATGTTAAAATAAATAATAATAAGTTTAAGCAGGGGCCTCCCAATGATGAGCTGTTTCAGGCTGCAGGGATTGCCATAGTTTATTGCCGCCACCACATGCCCCATTTTTTACGTTTGCTGCAAGAAGGTAAATTGTTAGGAGGCAGAGGCCAAAGGGTGGGGGCTGGTGGGTGGGACGGGCTATATTTGGTGTATAATACGCACCCAAATTTTCATCCTCTTTTAGGAGGGAAAAAGGTGCGTCTCATACTCTGAAAATATGGTAATATAATTATAAATATGGTTAGAATTATTTTGTTGTATTATCATTATTATTATCAATATATATGTTACTTTTTCTTTTGTAGAAGGGAATGCCGGGACAAGCATATTCAAAATACTTCTATATAAATAAAAAAACTTGACAGAAAGAGAGAGGACAGACTCAGCCATGCTGTGCAAACACAAATGCTCTTCACCTAGAGGTCGATGGGCATTACCTGCCCAACTCACCTGTTTCCGCCACATCCGCCTTTCCAAGACTTTTCTCCGCTCAAATTTCGTACGTTTCATCAGCTTCTTGTACTTGTGCCTATTCATCTTCCTCCTCCGGATCTTCAGAATGTTTCTGCATTCCATTCTGGGTGGGTTCATCTCCCCTCTTTGTTCTGCCTCCTCTTCTCCCTCTGCCTCAGTGCCCCTGGAAGGAGCAGGGAGATCATACTGTTGGAGCGGTCGGGGAGCGTTCCTCTCATGAACGTTTATGAAGCCTCCATTTTTAGGGAGGAAATACTGAACCGTCAGCCAGCTTTCAAGAGGCGAGATGGACATCTTGCGAGGGACTAGCATTTCTTCCAGTTCAGGGTCAAAGGTAAACCACTGGTGGGGACGGGTTCCATTTTTGCTCGACGGGAGTGTGCTGTAACTTGCCAGAACAGTTGCTCTAGGAGGTGGGAGGACAACAGATGGCCTCAAAAGAAAGCACCCTGTGGACAAAGTGGGAATGAAATTCATCTTGTGAGAATGTAAGACTTTGTGAGAATAAACTCCTGTTCATTTTATTTGTTTGCTGCTCAGGTGTCAAGAGGAGACTCTGTCCGATTTGCATTAAAACAATAATCATCACCATTTAATAACCCCATACTCCCTTGCAGGGTGGAATCTGGGCAACTGAATGGAGCTAGCAGAGTGTTTCAATGGACAGATTCTGTCGCCAATGTGGAGTTTTGTTCAGCAGATATATTCTAATCGTGCCCAGAGAGAGAAAATGTCTGCCTCTATCCAGGATGGAACTCACAGATTGTAAGGCGAGAGCCCCTCCTCTAGGCCACCACACCACTCTGCCTTGCATTAAAACAATCAAACCATAAATTGGTGCCATATTTTCATGTGTCCATGTCTATGTCTTAGACCAGGGGGCCCCAAACTTGGCAACTTTAAGACTTGCGGCCTTCAACTCCCAGAATTCTCCAGCCAGCAGAGCTTGCGGGAGAATTCTGAGAGTTGAAGTCCACAAGTCTTAAAAGTTGCCAAGTTTGAAGAGCTCTGGTCTATACTGATGTTTCCTTGTACTTGTTGACATAAATAAATATTTAAGTAAGTAAGTAAGTAAGTAAGTAAGTAAGTAAGTAAGTAAGTAAGTAAGTAAGTAAGTAAATTACCTGCACAGCGCGATGCCCTCACGAGGGGAGCCGTCAGCCGGGAGACCAGCATGTCGAGGCCGGCTAGTGAAAAAGAGAAAGCAGGGTCTCAGAGAAGCGAGGAGGCCCAAAGCCGGACAGGCCCCTCGAGTAAAGGCCCTATGCCAGGCCGAAGGCGGCGTAAGAAAAAAGGCCTTCGAGGCTTCGGAAAGGCCGGGCCCCGTTTTGGAAGAAGCACTGCGCGCTCTCTCCTACGATACCCACAATCACACAAACACACAACGATGTAAATACACACACACAACCGTGTATACCTCCTTAACGGGGAGCTTACCCTCAATTTGAAGGCGGGGAAACGTTACGAGAGTGCACTTCCGGTCAGGCGCGCTTCGGGCCGGCTGTCTTAAGAGTCCCTCCCGGAAACGCGGGCTTCAGGGAAAGGTTCCTCCCTTGTATGCCTTTTCCCCTTATTGTCCCTGCTTCCCTCTAGCGATGGAATGGCGCAGGTTGATGATGACGAGACGGGAAATGCCAGTTGTGTTACTAAGCGAGGTTTTCGCAATAAGGATCTTCTCCAGTGTTGTAATAATGATCATTTCCTAATATTCCCGTATTATATTATTTATATCTGCCCCCACCCCAAGATTAAGGTAATACTTCTACCTTAAGCTTCTATTAGTTTTATTAACTTAGTTCTATTAAGAAATAAGCTTTCACTTCTAGTATTTAAGGTCTAAAGCAGAGGCATCTGCCAACAAAAGTGCATCTAGTCAAGGTGATAGTTTTCCCAGTTGCAATGGATGGCTGTGAAAATTGGGCCATAAGGAAGGCTGAGCGCCAAAGAATGGAGGCCTTTGAACTCGGGTGCTGGAGAAGATGCCTCAGAGTCTCTTGGACTGCAAGGTGATCCAACCGGTCAGTCCTAGAGGAAATCTTTAAAAGGCCAGATCCTGAAGAGGAAACTCAAATACTTTGGTTACCTGATGAGAAGGAAGGACTCCCTGGAGAAGAGCTTAATGCTGGGAAACAATGAGGGCAAAAGAAGGGGACGGCAGAGAAGGAGGTGGCTGGATAGATTCACCAAAGCAGTCGGCGTGAGCTTAAATGCACTCCAGATGGTAGAGGACAGGAAGGCCTGGAGGAAGGTTGTCCATGGGGTTGCGATGGGTCGGACACGACCTCACAACTACCACCACTTAAGGTCTCTGGCTTGAGCAGGTTAGACTAGAAGACCTCTAAGGTCCCTTCCAGCTCTATTCTGACTGACCTATCCCTATCTATATTTTGACCCCACAACCATCTTGTGAGGTAGCCTGGGGTGGGAGTGGGGAAACTGGCCCAAGGCCACCTGATGAGCTTCCAACGCTGAAAGTGGACTAAAAGCTGCTAACACCCCCCTCCCTCTTTTCTGGGTGCTATTCCAACAGTTGAACTGTGATACTCCTGTTTTATTTAATTTACCGTCTACGACCCTGGGTGGCTTTTACATTCGAACAATAAAAAGGATTAAAATATATTTAAATGCAGTAAAGATGCAGGTTCTGATTAAAAGATGGGGGGGGGGATGCAGAATGTACTGGGGAGTGGGTGGGATCAACTATTAAGTCCATCCAACACTTCCGGTGTGCTATTTCCCCATTGGGGAGCTTGTAATGGACACAGGCTTTAAATTGCAGGTTATAAATCACTGGAGAGAAAACAGGAGGAGGAAATCAGTTGAATTTCACAACTGTGTGGCAAATCCTTCTTGAAACTAACAGAATTTGGGGTGGGGGAGTAATTGCTACTCAATAGACAACCGGACAGCTTTAGAGTTCCCAAGTCGTCCAATATTAGTGCCCTCCCTGGCAATAAGACTACTCATGAGTTAGAAACTAGTTGTTTGCCCTAGGGCAGTGGTTCCCAAACTTGGCAACTTTAAGACTTGTGGACTTCAACTCCAGCAGAGCTGGCTGGAGAATTCTGGGAGTTGAAGTCCACAAGTCTTAAAGTTGCCAAATTTGGGGCCCCCTGGTCTAAGACATAGACATGGACACATGAAAA